AAATAATAAAAATAAAATCAAAGTTCCTAACACGGGACCCTGATGTATCCCATTTGTGACAATCTAATTTGACTGAACTGTAACCATGTTGACTATCCAACAAAATTTTAAACTTTGTTCAATGACTTGGCAAAGCATTTTTCATCAGACTTTCAAAACTTTTTCCACCAGCAATAGAGGGTTAATAGCCCTATAATTTTACTAAAATAATTTCTATAATCTCCTTTGAAAAAAGGAGTAACAATAGCCAACTTTCAGTCTTCTTGTACCTGTCCACTATTCAAGGACTTCCAAAAAAAAAATAGTAGCAAGTGGCTCACATACCCAATCCTTAACCTCCTTCAAAACCCTTGGGGAAATATTATCTGACCCAAGAGTCTTATCATTCTTTAAACTTTCCAAATTTTTCTTAACAAGCTCAGAATTAATGTGATCATTTTGTTCAATCTTGTTACTACTAGCAACTGTTCACATTGAGAAATATTGCTACACTTGCAGAGCTTGAGATAAGTTAGGGGTAATTTTATAGGAAAATAGCATATTAGGAGTGAAAATCAAGGAAGAAAGACAGGAAATCAATAGGGTTAGGTAAAAGTTGTTTGGGAGGAGGGGAGAAAGAAAATGACAGTATTGTGTTTACAAAGGTGTACAGTAGCAAAAAAAGTTAAGGCTTCACAAGCAGGTTTAGTTCTTATTTAAGTAAAATCCCTAACAGATTTTAACCTTTGGCTACTTGCAATGAAGAATGAGATGGCCAAGAAGTTTACATAATGAAGGCCTTTCTATACAAGTGTACTAACAGTTATATGCAGTGGAGAGCACAGAAAGATTATAGCTACAATTTACTTACCATTTAGAAAAGTACATGACATTATAGAGTATGTTCACAGTTTAGATGCTGGTACCAATAAGCATTCTCTTTTTGTAGTGCATGTAGGAATGAATTATGTTAGAAACTGTAAATCAGAGAAACTTTTTAAAAAGTATAAGAACTCCTTCAGTAGTTTAGGGATAAAACAGTTGTGTGATCATTCTGGGAACACTCCTTAGGACTAGTCTTCATGTTTTAAGGATTCAATTGTTTACTTGAATTTAGACCCATTAGTTTAAATTTAGTTTATAGGTAGGTTATAAATCAGGCAAAATACATTGTATCATTGCTACTAATATTAGTGTTATGTCAACATCAAGTAAAGACTAGTTATTTGTCACTTCTATAAAATTAAAAATATACTTTATTACTTTTGTGTGAACATAAAGTAGTGATAAAAATTAATATATTTGATTCTCAAATGTTACACTTAACAGTGTTGTCAATCAGCTACTGGTATTTAGTATTGAGTATATATTTCCAGGCTACAAATACAATTGTTAAGACTAGTGTAGGAGTTAAGCATTCACAGTTTATTAGGTGTGATGGGTGCAATGAGTGGGTTTTATTTGAGAACTTAGGACTGGTATGTACTATTAACCCTCAGTTACTCACATGGGGTCATTATGACCCCTTGTAATTTCTTTAATTACTTATCAAATGATAGATAGCATTTTATTTATCCCCAACTTCCTCAACTGTGTGTCTATCTATGTTGTAGTCTTCATCAGTGTTCTGCAGTTGTAGGTTTTTGCAAAGTTTTAGATTGGGGTCATATTTACACTACGCAACTACTTGGGTTATAATTTTTTGCAAGATCAGTTTGTTTTCTTGTAATTTTAACTTACTTGATTTTGTGTTTTTCTTAAAAGATGTCTTTTTATTCTCTATCTCTTCTTTTCTGGCAGTTCTCTGTTTGTTTATTTTAGATGATATCTAATTGCTTCTTGTACATCTTCATATTGCCACTTTGGCTTATATTTTATGCAGATAGCTAGAAAAGGAGTTACCATCACTGCAATACGTTTTAATATTGTAAGCCATAAACTAAGACTTTCATTATTCTATTTTGCTTACAAATAAGGGTTTGGACAAAAAAAAACATATTATAAGAGTTTGAGCTTCATAATAATATAAACACTGCATTGGGGTCATAATGATCCCAGGTGACCACATATGCTCCATTTTACCACACAACTAATTGAAGGTAAAGGAAGCTAGTAGTGAAGATGTGCAATTTATATGTTGAGTTTGTAGGCTAAAGGCTATCCTCATTAAAGTAGAGACAACAGATAAAGAGAAGTGTAAACTGTGGGAAATGGCAGCAGGACTTGAAGAGGAGCTTAAGCTTTTACATGTAAGGGATACATCATCTAACAATGACTTTCAGGAAGTTAGAAATAGTACTATTAGGGCTAAAAGTAGTGGATTTAATTGTAATGAGCCTATTCTGTTGAGTAACAAATTTCATCCCCTGGCTTCTGCAAACAAGGAACTATTGGAAAGAAGGAAAACAAAAGGATCAGAGAAGGATAAGAATGATAAATTTAAGGAGGTTACAGTTATAGGTGATTCTTTGACAAGGCATTAGATTAGATCATGAATTAGATTATGCTACCCAGGGGCATGGGAGGAGGATATTACTGACAGAGCAGGAGATATAATAAAGGAGGCTAGCAATTATACAGTTTTTGTTGTGCACGTAGGGGCTAATGATGTATGGAAAGGTGGGTCAGATGAGCTAATTGATAAATACAAGGGGTTGATAACATCATTTTAAAAAAGGGTTATAACTTAATTGTGTTAGGGATACAGCCAAGAATTAATTGGGGGAATGAAATTATAAATAGGTCACTATGGGTGAACGATAAGCTTAGGTTAATATGTATGGATGAGTAGTTCGGCTAGTTGAATTTGTGGTATTGGTTTAATGGGAGAAGGGAGCTTTTTTGAATGGATGGTTTTCATCTAAATAGGGTAGGGGCTGTCTTGTTTGCAAGGGTTATTAACTCAGGTGTAAGGAAAGTTTTAAACCAGGACTAGACACTGGTAAGGGCCAGGATAAACTAACTGAAAAAAAAAAAGATGTAGAGAAATGTTTAGCAGAGGAAATGAGTATAGAAGTTGTTATAAGGATAGGCTTAATTGTTACTAGTGTAATGCTAAAAGTATAAGAAATATAATAGATGACTAGAGCACTGGTAGGGATGGAGGATTTTGATATAAAGGGAAAAACTGGAACATAGTTAAATGTAGATGATTTTGATGACAGAAATTTCTCTGAAATACAGGGTTACAGGCTATTTAATAGGATAGAGTAATAAAGAAAGAATGGCTTTATATGTAAAATGTGAGTTACATCCTAATTAAGTTGAGGATATCAAAAATAATAGCAAGGAGATTAACCCCATTTGGGTTTCTATTAGCAGATATAAAGGGAAAAGGCTTTTAGTGGGAATTTGTTACAGACCACCAAATGATACTGAGGAAATTAGTAAGAAACTTTACAGTGAGATTAAGATTTCAACTGTTAATGAGGTCATGATTATGGGCAATTTTAATTTCTGGAATACAGATTGGGAAATGCTAGAGACAAACCATGAGGAAGAAAGGTTTTTGGAAATAGTTCAAGATGGTTTTCTTCATCATTTGATCAAGGAACCTACAAGAAACAATGCTATTTTAGATTTATCGTTAACTTCAAATATAAAAATTGTTGAGAAAGTGGAAATTGGGGAACATCTGGATGTAAGTGATTATTGCTCTATTAAGTTCAATGTTTTGCTGCATATAGAGATCAGGAATAATTATTTACTTTTGGTGACAAATTTCAAAAACGCAACTATTGAAGGGATGTGACAAGAATTGTTTGTTGTGAATTGGGCAGCTGAGTTATTTGGAGACACTGATGAAATGTAGATTTCAAAGGTTCAAGATAAACATATTCCTTATAGAAAGAAAATAGTGGCTGTTATTAAAAAAAACAAAAAACAGGTTGGCTCACAAAGAGTATAAGGGATAAAATCAAAGAAAAGCACCACAAATTTAAGAAATTTAAATTGACTGGTATGATGGGAGATTTAGAAGATTATAGAAGATCAAGAAAGTTGATCCAACAGAAAATTAGGACATCAAGAAGAATGTATGAAAAAAGGCTGGCTGAAAATATAAAACTCAACAGCAAGGATTTCTTTAAATAAATTAAGTGTAAACAAAATGTTAGGATGAAAGTAGGACCTTGACTGATGATAAAGGAAGGCTTGTATCAATGATTATGAGATGGCTGGGTTATTAAATTTGGCTTTTTCTTCAGTTTTTACTGATGAATATTTGTATAGTATTCTTCATCTTGAACAGTTGATAGATGGAAATAAAGTTGAACAAAATGACTGCATTAATTCTTAGCTCATTAAGAAATAATTGGAAAGTTTAAAGAACAATAAGTCTCCTTGCCCAGATAATATTTCCCAAAGGGTTTTAAAGGAGGTTAAACATTGGATATGTGAGCCACTTGCTACCATTTCATACAAGTCTTTAAATAGTAAGCAGGTGCCAAAAGATTGTAAGTTAGCTAATGTCACTCCTCTTTTCAAGGGAGGTAATAAAAATTGTCCCAATAATTGTAGTCCTATTAGTCTTACATCAGTTATAGGAAAAGTTTTATAAAAGATGCTTTGCAAAGTCATTTAACAAAGTTCAGAATTTTATTA